ATGGCGATACTTGATGGTTATGTTGTTGATGGTCGACAATCAACGCACATCCTCCAGCTACCATCCTTATTGGGGACCAGTAGAACAGGGACAGCACAGGGGCTAAGTAATTTCCTGATGTACCCTTCGTCCATGAGTTCTTGCGCTTGTCTCTCCAACTCATTGTTTCTTGAGGGTTCATGCGATAAGGGCCCTTGTTGGGACGCGGATATCCAGGATAGTTTATAATCAGAGTCGACTGAATAAGCTGTCAGAATATCATGGAAAACTATCCACGTAATCATGTCCATGTTATATATCCATTATGCATCATCCACATCATATTTTATATGTGGATACCTCAATGAAAACATATCCACGCATTCAAGTCCATGTTATATGTCCATTATGTATCATCCACATCATATTTTCTAAGTGGATATCTGCCTAGACTTCTGATTTTTTTTAAAAATTTCTATACATATGTTTTTGAAATTTTTTTGTTTGATAAATAAACTATAGTATAATGGATCTTAAAACAATGAGAAAATAAAATTATAACTCATTCTAACAAAAAAAAATATTTTATGTCTTTCATAATACAGAAAAATACAAAATAAAATAGATGGAAAAAGATAATTACTGTTTTTGAAATCTGGGTTTTAATCTGCTATCCATTAGTTCGCATCCACCTTATCACATTCACGAAGGGCAATTTTGGATTAACAAAAAAATAAGTTACCCAATAACTATAAATATCTTTTTTTTTAAGAATAAAACTTGAAAGTGTCTTTGAATGTAAATAACTCTTTGTTTAGCACCAATTGTCTAATAAAATCTGTGTTCGACAGAGAAGCGCATCCGTATATTTCTTTCTTCTCATTATACTTTTGGTTTTTGCTTTAATAAAGATTCATATTATACAGTTTTCAGTCGATATTATAAGATCCATATTGGTCGACCGTCGATGACATGCAAAAGGAAAAATAGTGAAACTAATAAGTGACCCTTTTTCTTCTAGAAAAAAAAAAACGTTTTCCTAAAACTTTACATTAACACTACGGGTTTCAACATCACATCCATTGATCTTTCAAAATCTGAATTAATTTAATTTACATATTTCAGAATTTCGACGAGTGAACTAACTACTAAGTGAGCTAACAAAAAAAAAATGTTTTTCATTACCAAATCCGGAGCTGTTCAAGTGCCAAAAAAAAACCTTAAGGTCAAAATTGGGCTTAACTCGTAAAGCCCATAGATTTGTAGGTACAATTCTCGCGTAGCAAGAGAAAAGCAAAGTCTATAGCTCCGCGAGTCCGCTGTTCCACAATAATAGCGGCAATAATAGCATACCAAAATCCAAACTAGGGTGAGTAAGAAAAGTGAATATTTTTGTCTTTTAGAATTGAAGGTTATAGTTAACATGCTCATCGTTATTGTGAATTTTTCAAGCACTGATCTATTATATTTATAACATGGTTCATTACCGGTATATGCAGTAAAGTTTTTAACTAAGTCAATAGCTATAAATATTTCTTAGTCTTTCTGAATAGTAGACCATTGATCTGAGTTAATTAATGTCTTTTATGATGCAGCACAGATGCAAGATTCGAGTACAATTCTTTATTTCCTGACGAAACCTTAAAACAATCCTACTAATTCCTTTTGCTTTAAAAAAGGTTTCTTAAGAAAAACGCCAACTTCTTTATCTATATTTGACAAAATCATCATCATTTATCCGCTAAAACCTACCATTCTACCAAAATACAGGCCAAAATCCATAACTACAATATTTCATGGTTTATGTTGTTAAGTTTGTGACAACGTTTTTAGTTGTATTTTCTCTTGGAATTCTCCATAAGCATAGAGATACTGTTGGAGAGGTCAACGCTGAGTCCGAGTGTAAGGAGTTCTGGCTGAAACCGAATATAAACCTTGTTTTCAAGAACTATTAAACTTAAGAGATTGGGAATTGGGATAATTTCTTACTCAAAGACATTAGGATAGGTTATACATGAAAGTGTTTGTATTGAGTTATAAAAACACCCAATGAGATACAGAATTCCGTTACAGAATCGAAGCTTGTAGCATGTTAACTATAACCTTCAATTTTATGTACTAATAAAAAAAGTTATATTTAAACCCACAAAAACAAAATTCTATATTATGAGAATCAAACCCTAAAGATGGTGTAAAAGCACTACACCAACTTGATTCCATAAAGTAATTTACTGTTTATAGAATATGTACATACCATATAAAATCCAACTAATCGTCTACTTCTTTTTTTTAAAAATCAATATTTGATATTTGTTCCACAAGTATATCATTTGTCCGCCACATTTGCTATTGCATCATATTCTGATGTTGGTTAGATTAGATATTAAGCTTATCTAAACTTAAAATAGGTAATTACGTGAACATCTGGATTTTATACATGGCGGTCTGAGAGAATAATTTTGCATACATTACAACTCCAAGTCTCCAACCCTTAATTTCTTTTATTTTTTGTATGTATTTTGGTCTTAAACGTTTTTTAATAAGTTTTTTGCCATAATCAAACTTATCATGTTTTTTTTTTTTGGGTTAACAACTGATCATGTGTTATAAACAAGTTCAAGTGGCTATATAATCGTTAGATACTATTTGTTTCGAATTCGTTGCCTAACGTGAAATACGTCTGGAAATTGCATGATTTTATCTATTTTTTTCCGAGATAGTTAGGATAATCTATTTGCATATTTTCCAACCCAATCAACTTTGAAAGATCATTCACTTTTCTTTTTAAAAAATGGGTTTGGAAAAGTTGATAATATAAGTACATATTTGTTGTTTTATCATTAAAAATCAGCAACAAGCTATAGAATTTTAAGAAAATCTCCTAGATTTACAAAGCATCCACTCTAAATACTTTGTTTTTAATCAAATTTTTTCATAATAAAATCACACAATCGTCTGTCAAACATAAAGCAAAATAACAATAAGAAAAACAAAGAAGATATAAAAAGCTAGGTAAACTAAAAAATATATAAGAAGCCTTTTTTATTCCTTAGATTAATTTTGGATGTGACCATCTTAGCTTATTATTCTATATTATAAGATCACAAACTTTAGCCGAGTTTTTCTTAGTGCTCAGCTTTCCAAAGAACCACCGGTTATATCCTCCACCGTTTTCTTCGCTACCACCACCAGCAGTTGTGGCTACGTTTTCCCTTAAAATCTTCATGTTCTCTCTGTGAAACTTCCTCGCCGTGTAAGCCTCCGCCATAGCCATCCCTCCAAGTCCTGCCCCGTCTAGTGACATGTTCGATTAATCTAGAAAAATCACTAGGAAAATTATAGATGTTTTTGGAGAAAATATAACTTAAATATGGAGAGAGTTGAAAATAGAAACAGAGAGATTGTATATGTAAAAGAATTTGGTGAAAGATGAGTGTTGTTTGGAATTAAGGGAGATGGGTTGGGATGAATATATAGATGAATTTGTGGGTCCTTATTCTGTTGAATTTTATATCGTCTGTTTCCCACTTATTATATAATACGTACATAATGTAGTGGCGAATCTAAAGTATTAGTTTTATTGTTGTTTATATTTCTGGTAGTGTCTCCAGGATTATTCGTCCTCTATCCCGAGCAAGAGCGACTGAAACACATTTTTTAAAGTCTATCAACTGAAGCGAATGCTGTTAAGGCGTCTCTGTTGATTGGATAGCCAATGAATCAACTGAAGCAAAATATAGACATACATATTGGACCACATAAGTATATATCATCGTCGGCAGAACTATAGAGTATCGATTATATTAACCAAAAAATAATATATTATCATTTGTAAGTTATAAACTATCAAACTAGATATTAACAATGATGTAGAAATCTTTTTCAATGGAATTGCACATATTTTATAGTGATTACTCTGCAAGATATATGTTTTGCTCTCCAAATTATTTCTAATATATGATGCATACTGATCGTGCTCATTTAGCTAAATTAAATATCATGTTCATTTAATCATTCTTTTTTCTTTCTTTTTTTAAAGTATGTTCACATTATCATATAGTCAATAAAACGCAAATAATTTTTGTCGTTTATTGTTATCAACGGTAAAGATTTGTCAGACAACAGATACGATAATCTCTCGTTAAAATAAAGACTAAAACACGGTAGTCATACGATAAACAAAAGAAACAAATGGATTTGATGGAAATCCACGATAGATCCGGATATGATTACATCCACTTTGTACTATATATATAGTATACAAATTACAAAAAGTAGACGTATTTACGTTATTAATTAAGGTTAAAAAGACGAAAGCATTAAGCATCGAACTATTTTTGTTTTAGTTATATAATATCACAGGCACGACTAGTAATGAACATAGTCCGTCTCATGGGTCATGGCTAATGTTCGAAATCCATATAAAGCGACCATATAGTAAGAGGTACAGTACTATAACTATACACTAGCGATTTGATTAATTAGAAAAGTAGCTTGCTTAAGTATAATTATGTAATGAGTCGTGTTATAGATGCAACTACTAGAAATAAAACAAAAACACAACAGAACCTAGAGAAACACATAAATTTTGATACCTTAACTGGTTCAGTTTAACCAGTCAAAGAGAACGTTTTGTTTCAACATTATCGAATGCGTGTTCAAACGATTTTCGAGAAAAATGATTTTTGTGTTTTGAAAAACCATTACCAATTTACCACCATTTTGTTATATTAGAAAGATAGTCTCTAACCTATAAAAACTATAAATTAAAACACTCAGAGCTTTTTTTATTATAAGACAAAAATAATTCAGTTGTTAAAAAAAGGGACAAGATAGTTCGTATAATTGCCTATATGTCCTGTATTTTATCAGCTTTAGAAATTAATCAGCTATTTCTAGTTACATAAATTAAAGCAAAGTTGTTTACTTTTTTTCTCAAAATAATAGAACGTTGTTTGGAATATTTTTACGATGTTATTTTGGGTTTGTCAATTATTAACTATAAGTATCTAATTACTTATTTATACCTACGGGCGACTGACCATTGGCATATTTGAATGTTAGTGGGTCGGTGTCAATAAACTATCAATGAACTTTATCAGATATATTCAGGAAGGAAGTTATATATATACTAAATAAGTATGTGGATTTATAATGTAGTATTTATAAATTGTATAACAAAAAATAAAAATGAAGAAATAGAAAAAAGAATTAAATTACATACAAAAAATATATTTTTTAAGAATTATCAACTTAAAAACATTCACTTTTACTTTTTATCCCTTTCTTGTTATCTTTTTTTTAATTTCTTTATTTATATAAACTATGTATTTTCCTTTTTTTAACTTTGTTTTTATTTATAAATTGTTTATAAACTGTTTTTATTTTCTTTATTTTTTATTTTTTTTAACATAAATATTTTTTATTTTTTAAAATTAAAAATTAATTAAGTTAATTATACTGAATCCATCCTAAAAAAACGCTATGAAAATGTTTGCTGAACTTATTCCAACAACTTAGAGCATGTTCAGTGGGGGGTTGGAGAAAGAGTTCAGCGCGAGTTTATAGGCAGTTTTGATTAAAAAAAGAAGAAATAATGCTTATATGGGAAGGATCGGGTTTTCAGGACAATCCTGAAGACCCCAGGTTCGTCCAGGTTTGTCCAGGTGGCAAAATATCATTGGTCGAAAGTTTTTTTTTTAAATTTTGGAATTAAAAAAAAAGAAAAAAAAATTAATATCTGATGAATCCCTTTAAGAGAGGTTCACCAGTGAACATGCTCTTAGCTCATTGCTATAACAGTTGAGTTCATCCCAGCTGAGCCCATCCCAACAACGGAGCTCATCCCAGCAGACAACATAGAAAGTGTCACAAAAATCGCAAATATGAGGCTTGCTAATAAAGAATGTTAGTCTCTATAAGCAGTGATGAGAGTGAACATTAGAAATATTTACCTTTCAACTATTTTTTTTGTCAACAAATATTATAAGACTAAATGCAATAAGTATAGAGATTTACGGTTTATTTCATCTAATAGCAAAAGAAATCTAAAATTTAAAAATTAAATATTCAACAAAGACAAAAATTTCTTCCATGAAATAATTGATCGGTTGCATATGTCAATCATGTATTAGGTTGCCAACCTGTTTACTTATCTTGAAGGAAACATCAAGCTAATTCAGAAAAGTGAGACTCTTATCATCTTGTCATTTGTCATTTGTCATTTGTGCCTTGCAGCTTGCTCATGGCTATGCCCATTTGTGGAGTATACTCTGAGGTGCCATATTCTCATTCTTAAATTTCTTGAAACTAACAATTTTTTTGATTTCCTGAACTTTGTTTCAGCTCCTTAGATAAACACTACATAATGATGCTTGCTTGAAAAGAAGTTCTTACTTACAAAAGAATATCCATCCAACTTAGAAAGACTCTTGAATAGTGATTTCTTAAAGCTAGCTTCGAATGAGGATTTTATTGCATTGCTGATGCAAGTGTCTCCCAATATTGCGCAGCCTCTGAAAAAACTACAAGTAAGATTACTTCTTTGTTTCAACTCTTATTATTGAAAGAACTACAAGTAAGATTACCTCTTTGCTTCAATTCTTATTATTGAGTTATGTAATTGCTAACATTGATTTATCTCAAATTTTAGGAGGAATAAACTAAGTTGATCCATGGCAGCAGCAAAAATAAGGAACAATTTTTGGAGGTATAAAATATTTTTTTTTGTGGTGATTATTTTTGACGTGATGGCTTGTAATTTGTCTGTTGTTTTTTTATTCTAATTAAATGGTATTTTGCCCAAAAATTGCTCACAAATATAGTTTAGGTTTATATCATTTAAACACCAAAAAATATATGATGAGTTATATAATGAAGTGATATGGAAAACAGAGAAAATGAGTTGAAAAAAAAATATTAGTTTGAGTGTGAATTAAAAAAATAAAATGATGTGGAAATAAAAATAAAGTGATGTGGTTGGAATTTTTTTTTTTTGTTTCATTATAACTCAATTTAAGTTATATCGATCTCCTCCAGGCCCAAATCTATAACAGTACCATTGATGATCCGACAAAATCTAATATTTTGGATCCCTGTTATAAAGTCTCTCCATGATTTTTTGTATAATCCAACTTATTCATACAATTTTGTTGTCCATTCATGTGCAGAGAATATAATATGAAAAATTTTCCTTACTATTATAGATGGTCGAACATAAAAGAAAAATAAAGGTGAATTTTGGATTCATTTTAATTTTTTTTTTAAGTTATAAAAAATATAATTGTATCCTGTAGCAACTTTATAGGATATTTTTACGAACCATATCCATTTTCCCCTCAACTTTGAAGTAATCTCATATTTTAAAAATATTTTTAATTTAAATCGGTTTTATCAATTTTTATAGAATTTAAATTTGAATCGGTCGCACTTCCAAAAGTCCGACATAATAAAAGGAGTCCATACGATTAAATTGAATAACATTAAAAAAAATAGAACTAGGATAATAAGCCTTTGACGGGATGTATTTGTTTCTTGTTTAATCCTTGATTAGTTAAATACTTAAAACCCAAACACACAGCACTGTAACTCTACTTCTCTTTCAGTCTCCATCTCCAAAAGACACATTAGACCATCTTTAACGCTAGTATTTTAATATGGGTTTCTCATTCTATTTATAATATAAACACAAATTTAATTGAAAAATATTTTGAGTGGACAAATCATAAAGGGACAAGTGTCAAATGAGTCTAAATACCACCATTGCAGATGCTCTAATAATTTCAAATATGAGGTTTTATGTATTCCAAGAGACACCTTAAAACCTCAAATTTTGAGGTGTTGAACAATGACACCTTATATTTGAGGTTTCACTGATCAACATCTCAAATTTGAAGTGTCATCTTTTTTTATTTGTATTTTAGTCCTTTCAGTTATATGTTTTAAAAATAATCATAATAACTTTTGTGTTTATTATTTCAACTCTCATAATTTAATATTTTATCAATATTTGACATATATTATTATAAATAAATTATATATACATATAAAATTTAAAAAAATAATTTAAAATAAAAATAATACTGACAAATAGTAAAATAATACATAACATTAAAAAAACAAATACATAACAATAATATTATATAAAGCAAATTTCATACAAACTAAAATAACACAAGAAAATAAACTTACATGTTTTAGTTTATGTATTTTTTATTATTATTTATATGTAATGTTATATCAAAGTTGTATTAATTAATATTGCTTATAATATTTTTAATATATGTTTTATAGTTATTTATCAAAGTTTTATGATTTTAGTTAATTATTATTAATAGTGATGACTAAAATGCAAAGTATAATATTTTTAAGGTATCATTTTAAGGTTTATCATTGGAGAGCATCACCCTCAAACCTTAAATATAAAGTTTTTTACACTTTAAAAAATACAGTTTTAAGAAATGCTCTGATATGTCACCAAATTACCAAATACTTATCAATTAATCAACCTAAACCTAATCTCGTCTTTGTTTTAGTTTTGTTAATTTGGGTCTAGGCCCAAAAGAGCCCCATTATAATCGGAAACTGGGCTCATTGTGCGTCACGTGCGACGATGAGACACGTGATGAGAATGAATGAATGCTCACGTGATAAAGCGGAAATAGCTTAGCTGTGGTCTGTGTGAGCGGGAGAAAAAAAGACCGCTCGAAACCCACGTGCCTTCCAGGTCCATTATCGATCGCCATTGGGCCCACCACTACATTTTTTTTTAAAAAAATTATTTACTTTCTAGAAATTTGGTTGATAATCTATTTAACTGCTAGAAATTTGGTTAATCATAAACCACTTCTCTGATTAACTGCTATAAATTTGGGATTCAATTATGTTTTTTATTTTTTTATGCCTGATTATTTATGGATATTGCTTAGATTTTTTACCTGTTATTCTTCACAAAAATTTTTTTAATGACAAAATATTGAACATAAAGAAAAATATAAATGTTAATTTTGGATTCAATGTATATTTTTTTATTGCAATTATGTTTTTAAAATAAGTATATTCTGCAGAACATTTATAGGATGTTTACCAAGCACATCCTTTTTCCCTCAACTTTGAATCGACCTCATAATTTAGTTATTTATCCTATTTAAAATGTGGTTATATCATTTTTTATATTGAATTTACATTCGAATTGGTCGCACCACTACAAATCAGATATAGCCCGACATAAAAAATCCCCATTTCTTCTATCAGGGGAAAAAAATGAGACCATAGATTAAAAAGAATTAACATTAAAAAACGGAATTAGGATAAAAAGGCTTTGGCGGGATGTCTCTGTTTCTTAATTAATCATTGTCTAATACTTAAAACCCACACACACACAGTGACTGTGTACTTCTCTCATCTCCCTCTGATATTTCACCAAATTTACCAAATACTTATCAATTAATCAACCTAAACCTAATCTCACCTCCCACAAATCTCTCTAATCCCTGCTTCAATCTCGATTAACCAATCTCTAGATCCGTAATGCAGCTGAATATTTAGGCTCCCTCGATTTGAAATTCAACGACTTTTTTTTAATTATTATTTTTATTTACGGAGGAGATTTTCAGTGGAAAAAAAATAAGCTAGAGAAGAAGAGATATCGTGGCTGAAGATTCTCCATTGGTCGGCGTTATTGCTTGCTTCCGACATAAGCACCCTTCAGATCCGGACAGAGGTGATCCCCATTAATGCACAACCAATCAAGCTTTTTGAGCTTTAGTTTTGTTGTTGCTATCTTACACGAAATTAAGAATTCACAAGTGCTTCACTTTCCTTTTGGGTCTGGTGATAAGAGTCTTACTGGGTAATTGTCTCCCTGAATTTTGGGTTTTTTATTCTTCTTCTTCTTCTCTTATGGCTACTTAAATCTGGACAATACAGTCGTACGAAGTGTTCTTAGCATTTTGTTAAAGAGATAGTGGAATTTATCGCAGCTGGCTTAGCATGTCACTTGAATCGGATTTTTTTTTGTTTGATCTCAATTTTGAGCTGTTTAAGTAGATTACAGTTTGGGGCTGCTTGGATCTGATGATTAGCTAGCAATGGGGGACCTTTAGATTTTGTTTATGTCCCGCCATGTTACAGAATTATCTTCGGTTTATTTGGAATTGAGAAGTTGAAATAGTTTCAGCATGTTTGATATTCATATTTTGTAAGTCGGAAAGTTGAAAAAGATCGTAGATCAGACCTAAGTCATCTGATAGTTTGTGTGGTTTAGTGCATTTAGCCTCTGGAGATGTTCAACAGAGCTGAGTCACTTAGATCTAAGCTTGTACTGATGGTTTCATTGTTCTGTTTCTAATCTCTTTCTAGATTGTCCTATGATTGTTCTATCTAGTCTCTGTTCATACTAGGATTATTGATATACGAAAAGAAAACTGAGCTCGTTATGTGTGTGTTCGCAGGTGAGACTGTTCAGATTTTTGAGTAATGTCGAGACTGGCAAAATGGAAGCTTGAGAAAGCCAAAGTCAAAGTGGTCTTTCGGTTGCAGTTTCATGCTACCCATGTAAGTCAATTCACTAATAAACTCAAAAGGCGTCCTTTAGTAACTCTACATATCATTACTCACCTAGCGACCTAGCGCCATACTTCCTATTGTTTTTGCTTGTGTTCTTATCTTGTTAGTGGACCAGTGGTGTGCAACTATTTATTTCTGAGTAGCTCAATAAGATGTCGATGGAGCGTCCTATCTGACTGTGCACAGTGATCTGATGGGTTCTTTGTTATATTGTAAAAGGTTCCACCAGCAGGATGGGACAAACTATTCATATCTTTCATTCCTGCTGACTCTGTAAAAGCTACAGCAAAGACAACAAAAGCGCTTGTGAGAAATGGAACTTGCAAGTGGGGGGATCCGATCTATGAAACTACAAGGCTGCTTCAGGATACAAGGACCAAACAATTTGATGAAAAACTGTATAAGATTGTTGTGGCTATGGTAATACTGTATTCTTTTTTTCTCAATCTTTTCTCTTTTTCTTTTCTGACTTGTATATTTCGGATTAAATTCATGCTTTACTTTGGATTCTTATGAGATCAGGGTACTTCTAGATCTAGTATCCTTGGAGAGGCCATGATCAACCTTGCTGAATATGCTGATGCGTTAAAACCTTTTTCGGTGGTATTGCCCTTGCAAGGTTGTGATTCAGGAGCTATCTTACATGTATGGACCATTTGGCATATTTTCTCCATTTCGCACATCCTGACAAAGAGCTAGTCTTCCTTCTTAACCTTAGAAATTGATTCCTCAGCTTTTTTTCGTTTTTCAGGTCACTGTACAGCTGTTAACTTCAAAAACTGGTTTCAGAGAGTTCGAGCAGCAGAGAGAACTCAGGGAGAAGGGACCCTCAACGACCCCTGATCACAGCAGTCCTGACGAATCTTCTCGTTGCAGAACTTCACCATCTGATGAGACACTTACTCATGTTGATAAGGTCTGGCCCTTTTTTTTCCAAGCTTCATGAACGTGTCCTTCCATATTTTCACCCCAAAATTTACTTTGCTAGTAATGGATCCATGTCGCACAATATGCTAATTTGTATTTAGTGCTATGCTCACCTATTCATAGGACAACTTTTCCGCACAAATAATTTTGGTGTGAGGATGTTGACACAACTTATATTGCCAAAATCTTTGTGCAGACAAATATAAGAGGGAGTTTCAAAGAAAAGTTCCGAGATGATTCTTTAGTGGAAGAAGCTGTGGAGCCAAATTACCCTGACTTGGCATTGGGATTTGATGTCTCTTCAAACACATCAGGAAGCCTCAATGCAGAAAAACATGATATATCCAGCACAAATGAAATTGACAGCCTCAAAAGTATGGTATCTGGAGATCTGAATGGACTTGCTCAGAGCCCGCAGACAGAGAAAGACGGTCGCGAGTGGCATCATGGCTGGGGTTCAGACTATCTTGGTAAGCATAGCGATTTAGGCAATGCGAAGCATAGCGATTTGGGCAATGCGATGGAAGAGAATATCAAGCTCAAAGGTTTCGTGGAAGACATGGAATCATCAATTAATGAGATTAAAATTGAAGTGAGTTCGATGCAGTGTCATGCAGATGATATAGGTTCCAAAGCTCAAGAATTTTCTCAAATACTTATTTCAGAGATTGGTTCTGGGGATCAATTGGTCAGAGAAGTATCTGTGTTGAAATCAGAGTGCTCAAAATTAAAAGAAGAGATGGAGCGCTTACGTGACGTCAAAACACACGTTCTGTATAATAGCAAAGACCAAGATAATGTTTCCCACAATCTTCAACTAAGATGGCTGCAGGGTCTCTTAGTTGTAGAGGAAAACATTAGAGAAATTCAAAACAAAGTTTGCTATAGCTACCATGACAGGGACTTAAGATTGTTCCTCTCAGACTTTGAGTCTCTGCTTGGAGTTCTACTGGATTTTAAAAGGCAGATTGGACAGCCTATATCTCACCTCAGCACAGCACCATCTGAGAAATTCGTCGCGGCCGATAAGAAAGAGAGACGCGTGTCGAACGCCGAGCAGTTTGTATCAGGTTCTGAGTTGGACACTGATATTTATCAACCAGAACTTGATCCACTTCAATATCTTGGTATGCCTGATCTTGCTTCTCGTGAACTCAATTCAGCAGATTCTGTAAATGCCATGAGAGATAAAATACTCGAGCTTGTACGAGGGCTGGACGAGTCTAAAGCTGAACGTGATAGCCTTACCAAGAAAATGGATCAGATGGAATGTTATTACGAATCTCTGGTCCAGGAGCTTGAGGAAACTCAAAGGCAGTTGCTAGTAGAGTTACAGAATCTAAGGACTGAACATTCCACGTGCCTCTACAGTATCTCTGGCGCTAAGGCTGAGATGGATACGTTGCGCCAAGATATGAATGAGCAAACACTAAGATTTTCTGAGGAGAAGAAAACTTTGGATTCTTTGAATGAAGAACTGGATAAACGAGCTATGGTTGCAGAGGCAGCACTTAAAAGGGCCCGCTTAAATTATTCAATTGCTGTCAACCATTTGCAGAAGGATCTTGAATTGCTTTCCTCACAGGTTGTATCTATGTTTGAGACCAATGAAAACCTCATTAAGCAAGCTTTTCCAGACCCTCTGCAAAGCTTTCACGAATGCAATCAGTCGACAGATGATTCAAAGCCTGAGAAACAGGACACTCGTGATGTAAATCTCACAGAGTTTCGGAATGAGAAAAAAGGGATGAAAGAACGGCCCTTAAAGGGCGATATTCTTCTAGAAAATTTGAAGAGATCTCTTCATGTGCAAGAAGGCCTGTATCAAAAAGTTGAAGAAGAACTCTATGAGATGCACTCGAGGAACTTATATCTGGATATATTCTCGAACATTCTACAGGAAACTTTTCTTGAAGCAAGTGTTGACATAAGGAGCATGAAAGCGAAAATTGATGAACTTGGATGGCAGCTGGAGCTTTCAACAGAGGCTAAGGAAATGTTGAAGCAGAGACTGGATATTACTTTGGACGAGGTTTGCTCCCTGAATGAGGAGAAAACTACATGCATTGCCAAATGGAATGCTCTAGCTGTGCATAATCAAAGTTTAGAGGCAAATTTGCAGAATATTACTCACGAAAACCTCATCCTTCTACAAAAGATTGATGAACTGGAATCTGTAGTGTTGGAGTCCCAGAATTGGAAAACAAAATATGAGACATGCATTTGTGAGAAAAAAGAGCTTGCAGAGCTTATTGAGAAAGAAGCGCTGGAAAATGTTCATCTTCAGAAACGGTTTGCTACCATGCAGGCCGAGTTTGATGCTCTAAAAGGTAAGTTTGATGATCTGGCTACCGCAAATGGAAGTCTGCAGAAGAACTTCAGTAGTCTGAAGGATAAGTTGATGAACACATTAGGCTGCTACAAGGAAAAGCTCATTTCGTTGCCTCTGTGGGAAGGGGGAGTGGATCTTGATTTGGAGTCCCGTGATTTAATAGAGCAGCTTGATAGATTCTTGTGTAAGATATGTGAAAAAAGTTTTGTACTTATGAAAGAGAATAAAGATCTGATGCAAGAAAAATCCAAGACAGAGTTTTCTTTGAGGGCTGCAGAGTCTGATATTACGAAGCTCAAGCAGAAGCATGAGAATGATGTACAATGTTTGGTCACTAAACTAGAAGCTTCCACTGCCCGCCTCCAGAAACTTCAATTGGAAACTGAGTCTATCATGGACAAAATGAAGGTTATTACCGAAGCTGAACTAAAGTATGATAGCTGTGAAAAGGACTTTGTTTCTCGCCTTGATTATATTGAGAATGAGATTCATCTACTTGTGGCTAAAAATGAGGCGCTTGGTCAAGAGATTTCAGAATTAAGCTCTGTAACTGTTGAACATGGAAAAACCAAGCTGCTTGTGGAAGAACTGGCTGAGGAAAAAAAAGGTCTTCTGGTTTCTCTTCTGGATAAATCCCAGGAAAATTTGAGTCTTGTGCGTGAGCTTGAGAATTTAAGGACCACATTTGATCAAGAGTTGAGACTTGAACGAAGCTCAAGGCAGGAACTAGAAAATAAAATGCAAGATCTTACTTCTAAGTTGATTGCGAAAAGTTCCAAATTGCTGAGAGTTGATGAGCAAAGCTCTGAGTTGGTCCATCTCAAGCAAATGGTTTCCGATTTGGAGCTGGAGAAGGCAAATCACACTCTTCTATTAACAGGATATGAAAAATCTCTGAGAAGCTTGAATCGTGATTCATCAGATAATTTTGATCTGGAATCTCAGTTACTTGAAATGATGGAATTTTCAATAGCAGCAGATATCCAGATTGTTTTCACAAGAACTGAGTGGGAGACTTATGCTGAGGAGCACCACAAGGAATATTTTGAGGTATTGACTGCACTCAATGGCTCTCGTAGTGTTGGAGCTCAGTATATGGATGAGAATATAAAGCTGTTGACAGATATTGACTCCGTAAGATCAGAATTGAAAGTTGAGAGAAGTTTGCGAAACAAATTAGACAGCAGAATTGAAGAACTTGCTTCTGAGTTAGATGAAAAGCATTTGCTGTTGGAGAACCTTGATTTTCAGAAATCTCAAGTGAAACTGTTAAAAAAGATGGTAGCTGAACTAGAATTGGATAAGTCTTTTCAAAGTTCGGAGTATGTTAGAAATGCTCATCGGGAGTCTTCTTTTATTGAAGAATTGTTTCAATGTCTAATAGCTGCAGATGTTCAGCATATTTTTACAAAAATCCAGTCTGAGACCTATATCAGTGACCTTGCAGAACAACTTACCTGCTGCTCCAAGAGCCATCTTGAGTTTCAAAAGAAGCACTCTGATGTGGAATCTGCCCTCAACCATTGTCTGGTCAACGAAAAGCGGTATATGGAGGAAAACAGTCAACTATTGGTTAGTCTTGAAGTCTTGAAGTCTGAGCTAGAGTCTTCAATGGCTAAAAGTAGAGCTCTTGCTGATAGAAATGATGAAATGTCAGTTGAGCTTGAAGAGTACACAACTCGAGATGAGAATGCAGAAAGAAGTTACTCTGAGAGAAGCATATGTGCTCATGAGCTTGAACAATTGAAATCTCTGTTGGTTAGGCATGAAGAAGAAATAGAAAATTTGACGGTATTAAAGGCTGAGGCGGAAATTATAGCCGAGGTACTAAAAGATAAACTAGCTGAGCTGAGTGGAAAAGGTGCCAGTGAGGTTGAGACATTGAAAAATAGGTGCGGTGATCTTACTCAAAAGCTCTCTGAGCAGATTTTGAAAACAGAAGAGTTCAAAAGCTTGTCCGTCCATTTGAAAGAGCTTAAGGACAATGCTGAAGCTGAATGCACTCGTGCCCGTGAAAAGACGGACTATAAAGCCCCTTTAACTCCACAGCAGGAGTCGTTGCGAATCATTTTCATCAAAGAGCAATATGAAACCAAGCTGCAGGAACTTCAACATCAACTGACCATGTCCAAGAAGTATGGCGAGGAAATTTTGATGAAATTACAAGATTCCATTGATGAGAATGAAGCGAGGAAGAAGGCAGAATCCAGCCATTTCAAAGAGCTGGGAGATAAAATATTGGAACTGGAGGCTGATCTGCAATCTGTTATTTATGATAAACGTGAGAAAACAACAGCTTATGACATGATGAAGGCTGAGTTGGATTGTTCATTATTAAGCCTTGAGTGCTGCAAGGAAGAAAAGCAGAAACTTGAAGCTTTTCTGCAGGAATGCAAAGAGGAGAGACTGAGAATGTCCAAAGAGCTTGAATCGATGAGAGAATTAGTACAAAGTTGCAACTCTCATAAAAATATTCAGATGGAAGAACATGATAGATTACGCACGGAGGATGGTGTATCGGAGTTGGGTGACAAATATATATTTGGAGCCTCGTCAGGCGACTTGGGGAACCATGAGCATATGGAAGGTGCTTGTTTTGTTCCTACGGTAGGAACCAACAGTCCCAGGACGAAAATTCAGGTAACCGTCATTTAGATCCGTTTTGGATTAGTATTTATATAAGTTAATCTTCAAGTTTATGGTATCTTAGACCTGATATCATTGCTAGTTCTGCTCCTACTAGTTGTGTAAAAATATGCTGCACCTTCTTTATGTAATGTTATGCAAAACTAGTTTACGTGATTAATTAAGCTTGTGATGACTAGGCTACTACCGTACTACGTATGCGGATGTTTTCTGTAAATATTTCTCAAGTTAGATATTAAGCGTGTTAATGTAAATTTATCGTTCATCAGGGTGCTATTCAATCGAGCGGTGTAAATGAAAACGGTGACAGATTATCTTCCGGAGAAGCAACGGTGCTGGAAAAAGGTGGAGAAAGCCTAGCTTTGATCAATGATGATTTCAGAGCAGAGACTTTAAGGTCTAGCTTGGATCACTTAAACAATGAGGTAAATTAATTGGAGATAAAACACGGCTTAGTATTGGATTTGATGGCTAGCTGGTTTGTATCTACAAAACATATTTATTGTAGGGCCTAGCGTCACTGAAGCATCTTCTTTTTCTTTTGTCTTCTTTACAGCTAGAACGAATGAAAAATGAGAATCTAGTTCAACCTCAAGATGACAATGATGTAGACACAAGATTTCCGGGATTGGAACAAGAGCTGATACAGTTGCGTCAGGTGCAGATGTTTACCTTTTAAAGATTGTATATATTGAAGCATGTGTGTCCACTAGTCTAATGATCATCTTTCCAACAGGCAAAGGAAGAACTTCAAAGTATCTTCCCTCTAGCTCACGAAAATTTCAGCTGCGGAAATGCATTGGAGAGGGTTCTTGCACTGGAAATAGAACTCGCTGAAGCCTTGCGGGGAAAGAAAAAACCATCCATCCATTTTCAGAGGTACATGATTCAAGAATTCATCTCACTTTCTTGCCCTTGTAAAATCAAGATCATGCAGGAACGAAAAAGATATATAGTAAACCCACTGAACTTATGCCTTTTTGGTCTGAAATCGCAGCTCTTTCTTGAAGCAACACACCGATGACGAAGCAATTTTCCAAAGTTTTAGAGACATAAACGATCTAATCGAGGAAATGCTAGAGACCAAAGGCCAGTATGCATCTGTGGAGACAGAGCTTAAGGAAATGCATGACCGTTACTCTCAGCTAAGCCTCAAGTTTGCAGAGGTTGAAGGAGAGAGACAAAGGCTCATGATGACTCTGAAGAACGTTAGGGCATCCAAGAAAGCAATGCTCTTAAACCGTTCATCATCAGCAACTCTTGGTGAACATTAATGCACAGATACGTTACTATGTACATATGTCCCAAGAATGTTGAATAAGTTCCCAAGTTCTAACAGTGGTCTCATGTTATAGATAGCTTAATATAAATGTTCTTTATTCAAGATATGGGGTTCTCAAAGTGATGTCTTCTCTGCATTGTACAGATCAGAAACCCATATTCTTTATATCAGAGAATGTAAAATTTAGTTGAGAAAAACAACACAGATAACAAGTTGTTTTTATTACCAGTAAACTCGTGTTATATTTTGGTTGCGAAAGTGTTTGTTTCGGAACATATTGTATATATGTGAAAAAAAACATCCTTGCATTGCATTGCATTTTCTCGCATTGCATTTTCTCGAGTCATTTTTGATAAACAATGAAGGAAACATGAAAAATAAATGATCAACTGATATAATTAATGGATCAATAAACATTGGCCTACATAGGATATAATTAACGGATTAATCCTTCAACAATTACCAAAAAAAAAATCCTAAAATTTACAACAACAAAAAGACATCTAGAAAATAAAAATCGGAGTCCAGATTCCTTCCGAAATATAGCGAATTCTTAACAGATAAACTCCTTTTATTCATTTTTTGTTACATATTGTATATACGTAAGAAAAAAACATCCTTCAAGTATCGTAGTACATTTTCTTAAGCCATTTTTGAGAAACAATGAAGGAAAAAAAATGAAAAATAAATTATCAACCACACAAATGAAACCAAATTCTGTAAAGAAGATCATCTGTTTTCAAGTCTATGCCAATCATCCTGTATTTGAAGGAACTTCTCAAAGCTTGTTTGAAGCTATGGAAGCTGTTCTATATAAAGGAGCAATCATCACCCAGTGCTATTATCATCAAAGGATAAAAATCTCTATGATCCCAATTTACTTGCAGCTACAAAATGGTGCACGCGCATCGATTCTTCATCGGAGGATCATTTTGCAGTTTTTCTGTGGAACAGAAAACAGCATAATGAGATGATAATGACCATGATCTAAAACCTTTGAAAACTCCATAGTCACAAGCGACTACAATTAATAATCAAACAACGGGTACAAAAAAAAAATTTACCACTCTTTTTGTCTAAAGTAGGAGGACGAAGAACAACATGCATAGTGATGATCATTCCAGGAAGTTCACCAACGGGAAGCCTGGATTCAGCAAGCGTCCTATTGTTCTCCAGTATTTTCCCGGCATTGATGAGCTTCACATCATTTACACTCTTTGGAGTATTTTCTTTGTCTGCCAAATAGAGAAAAAAACACTTTTGAAAAATGCAGCTCCAACACAACCTCAAGAGAGTATATGAAGAATACAAAACATCTCAATTCTCAACCGTGAAAAGCAAAGTCAGTAGCTTTCAACAGTACACCTAAACCTTTTTATCTATTAAAGTCTCCAACTTTTCAAAGCTCAGTACCTAAACTAGACCAATAAAGCGTTCGTTATACATCAAATCATTGCAGAAAAAATGAACATTAAGAAGACAGACTTTACACAATCAAACGCAATGGAAAGGCAGAAGAACAATCAAGTAATCAAATCAAAGTGAGTCTCAACCATTAAAAAATTGTGAAGCTGTGAGAAGAAGAGAAGAATGAATGTACCTTTAGGCCATTGAGAAATGATCTTCTCTTTGAGAGAAGAAACAGTCATGGATTGATCGTACTTGCTCGGACCTATGTCGGTGCCATCTGCAAGTCTAAATTTGAGTTCTATACAATCTTCACCTGCCATGATGTTCCTATTTCCCCAGAAATATAGAAAAAAACCCAAAAAACAAAAATCTATTGAAAAAATACAATTTTTCTTCACTGTATCAACCCCTTTTTCTCTCTGGGGAATATCATCGAACACTAAACAGGATTGTTCACCAATCCAATTACGACAAAACCCCAAAACAGAGAAAAAAAAACTAATTTGTTTCTTTTGACTGTGTATCAAGGATCAGCCGTTTGTGAAGAACAGATCCAAATATAATTGAGGAACTTTCTGATTAAGAAAATAAGAAAAATAAAGAAGAAGAAGAATCGAAAGAAGAAGAAGAAGAAGAAAAGAGAGACACTTTGGTTGAAAGGCTGTCTTTGAGCAGCAAAATTAATTTTTGGGTTTTCTTGGTAAAGTGAGATTCTTCTAATCCTCCTACCTGAATCCTTCATTTGACTTTTCTACCCCCTCGTTTTCCCGTTAATCTCAGTTTAAGCTGGCTATTTTTTATTTAAAATTATTACTGAGATTTTGTAACAAAAATGTACTAGTTTATTCCATTCTATAGAGTTGTGAATTAACCTAGATTGTGTGCTGATTGGTGATATATATTAACACTCTAATAAGAATATATTCGAAATGATACAATTACTTATAGGTACTCTGGCCATGTTGAATAATGTTTAAAATTGACAAATGGATTTCAATAATTTGATTTATATTTAGTGGGTATTGATACTCTTTGACATTTAATTTTTAAATGGGAAACCATTTCGTTATTTGTGGGTTCCTCCCATATCATCTCAATTATCTATACTTTATCGCATTTTGTTCCTTTAATTGATTGGTATATATGCCAATTTTATATGTGATTTGTATTAAGGGGGTAACTCTGGAATTTAAGATGAGCATAGATACACACAAAAAAATAACATTTTGTAGTTCCAAATGGTTAGAAAATGGTAGCCACCAACTATAAAAGGCTTAACTACTTTAACTAATTGAAAATGGTATTGAATAACATAATGCCTACTCATAATATGGCTATAGTTTAATGTTATTTTTTATTCTGTGGAGTTTAAGATGTGTCTTACATTCAATTTGAGTAGTGATTCTTCTTTACATCGAGCATTATAGACAAGGAACTTCGAAACTTCAAGTGATCTAGATATGAAATTAAGTGGTATTTTTAGATGAATTTTTGGTTAAATGATTTCATATTTGGAATCAGTTTGGTTTCAAAAAGTGTTACCAAAATTTGATGCTTCTCATCAATATTTCATTATATTTTGACTATTTATAATGGAAAGTAGTCCGGCTCCTATTAATTTGGTTCGGTTCAATTTCGAATGTCCTCCTAAACGCCAACCAAATATTGTTGTGTAAGTGACATTCGTTCGTGCATTCCACAAAACACCAATACAACTTTTGGATGAAATAAATAACGGGCTAGTGACATTTAGTTATGATATATACCAAATATATATATGCATTAAGAAGAAGAAGACTGTTTCCTTCACATCATATTAAAGTTATACGAAAACTAATCACAGAATAGATTCGTTTGAAATAAATCAAAAGCAACTTCCATTTTCTAAAATAAAAGAGTATGAAGATAAAAAGAGAGGTGAAGTGTGACTTGCGAAATGAGAATCCAGAGATGGTTGGTTTGCTTTATGAGCATATGATGCATTCTAAATTCTAAGGCATCAAAGAGATTTATCATTTTTTTTTTCTTTCTTTTTACCTATTTTCTTCTTCTGCCTGCAACATCCATAATGTTGGGTCTTTAGGTCCACCACGACAGAAGCAAGCAAATAATGGAAAGGGGATTCTTAACCGAACCGACACTTCCGATTAAGCAAAAAGGACTTCAATAAATGTTATCTCCGTGTAACAAACTGATAACAAAAGTTGAAAACCAAACCAAAAAAAAAAAAAAAAAGTTGAAATAGCATAGGAGAAATATCTTTTTGTGTTGACTGTTTCAGATTCACACCATAAGCTGCATATGTTATTTCAAAATTCTTTTTCTTACAAGTCTCTCTCTATTACTTACTACAGAAATATGTAAGCAGATTGCAGAATCAAACTGATGTAACAGATTCCGGACTTTAGCAACTGAATCATGACACACAAAGAAAGACATTTTGTTATACTTCCTTGAACTGCTAGGTAATGTAATGCTATATAGTGTACATTTGCGCATATCGAAACAAATCCTTATATGTATATATCGTCACATAACAATTTATTGCTCAAACTTACTTGACAGCCAAAGTCTGGACCATCGAAGACTTAAATCTTGGGAAGAAGATATATCATAAAGCTTCAAACTTTTGCTTTTGGCTGTACAAAGAGATTCTCAATGTCCCACGAGAAATGGGCAAAAGATTCTTGCTTTTATATATCTATGACTTGGCAGCTAACAAGTTCAGCAGCACCAAAGTCCTTGCTTGCAATAACTTTCCAGATAACAGTGTCTGACTTGTTAGCTGCATTGCCCTTTTCACTCAAAACAGAGTTAGAACTAGATGATGATGACGACGAAGAAATGTCCGGGACATCAGCACGTAACACTGTAACGTTATGGTTAGGGTCTCTAGTAATGAAATGAAGCTTCCCGTGAAACCCAGCAAGCAAATAAGGAGACTCTGAATCAGTCAAGTCATAAACAGGGACTTCCCCAATAACAACTTTCCAAGTATCTTCCTTCTGATCATAAACCTTAATCTTCCCATTCTCCATCGATGAAGAAGGATCAAAAGCGTATAACTCACCATCCACCACCACACTCAGTTTAGTACCCGCTTGCCTCGCTGGCCAGCCTTCACCCATACCAGACGGCATTTCAACCCAAAGATTAGTCTCCGGATCATAAACCTCTCCTCCAACATCAACAAAGAAAGGCCAAGAGTATAAACTCTGAGGAACACATAACCTACCGTTGTAACAAGTCATCCCCGTGGCAATAGGCTTTAACAAGTCAGCCAAAAACGCATTTGGCAACACTTGAGCCTTTGAGAAAGGCATGCTCGGAACCTCTGACCAAGCGTCCGTGTTCGGATCGTAAACCTCAGCTGACTGAAGCGGAGATAAACCTCCTCGCGCACGATCTACACCTCCAACAACGTATAGCTTCTTATTCAACACGCCGGTTTTCGAATAAGCCCGGTTAGCCAACATAGAGCTCACTTCACTCCAAGAGTTGAGAACCGGATCAAACCGCCAGACGCAGCTCACGGTTTTGGACTTTGACAGCCCTCCAAGCACGTATAGGCAGCCATCAACTGAACCAATAGCACAACCACAAAAGGGCATTTGCTCAGATGCGTCTTTCCTACCTAGCAAGCTCCTCACAATCTCAGCGACTTTAACACTCGAGCTAACCAAATTCCACAAACCAGATAAGCTCCTTCTAGATTCCTCTTCGTATACAATGACCGGCATTGGAGGCAGTCTCTGCCATCTCGTGGACACGGGATCTAAAGCGTACCACAAGAGCTTATCCTCTTGGCCTTTGGTCAGCACATAGAGCCATTCCTCGGTCCTCCCTAGTTGCTTCCTCAGGGTATAAAGCTCAGAGGTTGACACAGCTGATTTCCACCTCCGAGAAACCAAACGCACACTCGAGTAGCAGATTCTTGGGAGCCTAGCAAGAATCTGTATCGATAACTCATCCGGAAGATTTGGAATCAATCTGCAATTCTCCTCATCGGTGGAAGAACAAAGTTTTCGTCTTTTTCGAGATTCGCTTGCAAAGTCCTCGTCTTGAGTAGTCGATTTCCTCTTGGAACAGCTCAAGCTCATTACAGAACCCATGAGAGCTCAGATTAAGTAATGAATCGCTGCAGAAAAACAACAAGCAGCAATCATGAATTCCTACGATTAACAATCAAGAACACAAGTTCGAGAAATTAGCTCGAAACACTAATCCGACACAGATTAAAACCCTATTTGTGTCTTCTCTGAATGAATCCGACATAGATCAGCATAAACCTCAAGAGCCGGTCCAATCAAATACGATTCTGTATCGCCCCAAACTACGAGAAAACTTACCTAAAAAGACTTAAATAATACTTAAACATCGATACTGAAAATCGACGAAAATCGATAAAACCTAAGAAGTAACTTAGAAAAAGAAAATCGTTCGAATTAACTTTGAGAAAGTGAGGAGTAGGATTATAATCGAGACATGAAAATCTCACCGATGCAGCAGAAGAAGAGAGAAATCGAGAGAGGAGTGGAGGAATCTTGAGATCTCTCCTAACTACACGCATGTTTCAGGAATTGTCTTTTTAGTTCCAAGACGAGTTTTGTTGTTGTTGTTGAATCATTTGACGCACGATTTTTTTTTATCTTCTTTACTTTTTTTTTTTTTTTGTTTGGTTTGCCTTTGTGTAATTTAATGGTGACCGTTGGATTTGATGAGACGAAATGACGTGTATCTGATTTTAGGCAATCCGGTCTACTCTTCTTCGAAGTCAACCTAAATTTAAAAAAAAAAAAAAAAATTATGTTGATTATTTGTGGAATGAAATTACAAGGTGTTGAAAAAGTCATAATTAGTTTGCTTATGATTCTTTAATTTATTTATTTAATATTAACATTACTTAAACCAAAAATTTATAAACCGGTTTGTGTTTGGTTTGCTCTTCCCGCCAATCTCGCTTTAACTGACGTACGTACTGCTTTCAATTACATGTGCTTGCTCTCATCGTAGAGATATGTCTTATTAGTCAGATTTCATCATTGTAGGATCTCATTTTATTGACAATAAGTTTGGTGGAATTTTTTTTTTTTTCGATAAAGAGTTGTTTTCTAGTTCATAAATTTGTGACTTGTATAACTTCAAAAGCGCTATTAATTTAAAGATACTCTTCTTCTTCTTTTGTATTGTAACTTCATTTGCTTATAGCGGTATAGCCTAATCCGTTTGATGAAGTAATTAATAAGTTGAGGATTGACACACTGAGAATATATGGTTCTATTTTGTGCAATGTGTCTTTTCTGTTTTGTTGTATACATAATCTCTCCACAAGTACTTATTATCTATTTCACGACCCTGATAGCATCATTTCAATGACGTGCACGTGAGAACAAACATAAACCAGTGTCTTGTTAAATCACAGAACAAGAAAACTCTTTAGGTTTAAATAAAAAGACAAAAAATCGATAAGGAACAAAGAAGGCACTCTTGTGTGTTCAAAAGGAAACTTTGAAAGGGCCACATTTTCCATGAATGATGAATCTTGTAGTTAAGTCTTGGTCTTTGCTTTGATTTTAGGAACACTTAGTACAAATATACTCAGTACCACATTAAATTATTCATATCCACACATTACACATTTCACATTTCACAAACGTATGTCTAGTTTTTCACCTTTCACTTACATATCTGTTAAAAAAAAAATCATTTTTTTCTGGTGAGAATAAGAAAAAATTGTAAGGTAGAATGATAATGATGACAAATAGCTGTGGAGAGTAGTAGTAGAATGATAAAGGGGCCGACCTTGAATTATATAGAGATAGGTCCACCCAAAACCGTAGAATTAATGATGATATTTACTTTTATATTTAAGAGTAACCTCTCCTAAATAGAAACTTTGACTACAAACTTATTATCCTAATGACCCAATTCAGTACTTCCCTATCTCTGTCCATAAACCCTAAGAGGTAATGCAATCACTAATTGATAGATAAGTTTCCTCATCTCGCTTGGATTGGTAACACATTATCGTTTACTAATCACAGACACAAGAATTATTTAGAGGTATCATTTGTCTTTTCTCGTTATGTCTTACCGGTTCTAACTATTCCGGCATTTATTACGCTATTTTTTCGTTAAAATTTTTATCAACTTTGTACCATCAATTGGATTCTCTATTTCTTTGCGTATGTGTATAAAGTATAAACATCTGAACAATGAAGATCCTCTCTAACAATGTTACACTTCCTTAGACAAAGTCTGGCTTATCTAGCTTTCATCGATTTCTGATGATGTAATGTGATACTGATTGAGTCGAAGTTTGTACAACAACAACACCTACAAAAATAGAAGCAGAAATGCTTTTTGGAAAAGTATTAAGTAGTAACTTTTTAATTTTTTTTTGTAAATGTTACCAACCTTGAGCATCACACTTCTCTCTACCACTTGATGTCTTTATGAAATTACAGCTGTCTCTTCTTGATATGACTTGTTCTACCGGGAAAGCGGCCTATTCATGCCTCAATTGGCTTCCCTGGTACCATTTGCTACTTGTACTTTTTAGCTGTGCTTACGCATACCTCAACTTCTAAAAATGTGAATTTTCATACCTGTACTTTAATTTGTTTAGCTAATTCATGCATTGACTAATACTCTGGGACAATACAACGTCGTTTTGTATGAAATTGGGTTTCAAAAAAAATCCGCAAACTCAGAGATTCGAACCCACGACCTGTTTGAGTTATAACCAAACCCATAACCAGTAGACTATGTGTGCTAATCGATAAACCATCCCCAGTTAATATATATAAAACAACTTCACAATCCTCATTTCAAAAACAAGTAATACAACGTTGTATTGTATGAAACTGGGTTTTAAAAAAATGTGCAAACTCTTGAACTCGAACCCCTGCACTGAGTGCAATTAAACGGAGCCCAGAACCAGTAGACTATGTATGCTAATCGATAAATCATCTTAGAATTAATTAATATAAAATAATTCTCATAACCATTATTAAAAAAAATGAGACGACGTCGTTTGGGTTTTATTACTCTTAACCAGAATCGATCTTCTTCTTCCTCTTCCAAAGCTTCTCCCTTCGAATTGATCCCGATTTTGGACGACGATGGTGGTAGATATGGTTGAGCTTGATGAAATTGGTTGAAAGAGAAGAATTTGAGGAAAATTCCGAATCTGGGGACTCAATTTCCCTAAAAAATGAGGTACTTTGAAAATCTAGAGTTTAGGTTTTCAATCTAATTTTCAAATTTTATATTTGTTTTCAATTTTTTAATCGTTTTGCAATATTATATTCATGTCTTAAGCAATTCTAAACCCCTAAACTCTAGTTGAGAAGTTATCCCCAATTTTGAACATAGACATCGACGAAGAAGAGGAGAAAGAATATCGATCCTTCTTAACACACGTAAAAGTAATACGACGTCGTATTACTTTTTTTTTAAATGAGGGTTGTGAAGTTATTTTATATATATTAACTGGGGATGATTTATCGATTAGCACATATAGTCTAGTGGTTCTGGGCTCTGTTATAACACAAACAGGTTGTGGGTTCAAGGCCCCAAGTTTGCGGATTTTTTTTTAAACCCAGTTTCATATAAAACGACGTCGTATTGCCCGTTCCAACAAGGATTCCCACGTGGCAAATGAGTCAGCGTCCGTTAACAGATTAACGGGGTTGACTAACGGAGAATTAGTCAAGACATGAATTAGCCAAACAAATTAAAGTATAGGTACGAAAATTCACATTTTTAGAAGTTGAGGTATGCGTAAGCACAGCTAAAAAGTACAGGTAGCAAATGGTACCAGAGAAGCCAGTTGAGGCATAAATAGGCCGCTTTCCCCTTGTTCTACCACTTCCTCCTCACTCTTTTAATTATCACCTTTCTCCATCTCTCTCCATAAAATGATTGATCTTCGCGGATTAATATCTACTTAATTTGCATTTACATTCCTTAGTTCATTCCAACTTATGAATTTGTTGGTTGCTATTTCTATTAGATCACTTAGTCTAATACTCTAATCCATTAGTTCGAATTCGGTATAAGTAACGGTATTGATCTATAACTTTCAAACCAAGTATCTAGCTTTCCCTCGGCTACATGGATAAGACACTCAAATCATCACTCCTAATCGTTTTTATGACAATTAGGACCACAAAAGGAAAAACAGTTTGTTATGTGTACGAATGTATCATAACCACAGAGATACATCGAACATATATGTCTCTATGAAGTATACAAAACTGGCATTTAATTTATCATTTGATTAATACACAGAATTATAGCTTTTGGCTACATCGAAACAGCTATGAATTTGCTTTTCTATGATTTTTAATTCAACATTTCTTCCTTACCAATTATTCAAGGTATCGATTGTTTCAAATGCAATTTATGCATTGAGATGTTATAATTGTTATATTTTTATTTTTGAAAACATTTTCGGCTTTTCTCTAATAAAACGTTACTTTGACCTGCGTTTGACACGTTTAGAATTGACAAAAATAAATTGCTTTGATGCTTTAACATTATAGTGTGGGTTGTTTTATAAAACAAATAAATGTAAAAACAAACAACCATCAGTAAAAGTTTTTTTTTTTCAACGCGAGCGAAATGTCTTTAGATTTAGGTCACTGATTTTGGATCCAGCCTTTTTTTTTGGGGTCCAATTTTGTTTATACAAAATTATATAGTGAAAAAGGTAATTTTGTTTTTAAAAAGGAGCATATCTCAAGATCTCAAGTGGGGGCTGTTGACCCTCTTTAAAGAATCAAAATATTCCACCTCTCGCTTTCCACCGTCCGATGAGAAATCACCGAGTCAAAGATTAAGCAGTACTTATCAGTTGCTTACCGCCTTAATTAATTAATAATCATAACTTCTCCTCCTGGGTAGACAGGTAAATATCACTAGTCATAGTCACGGCATTCGTTTACTAATAGCAATAATTACAGAAATGCTAAGAAAACGAAAGTTGTATTTTTTTTTTGTCAACGAAAGTTGTATTAAATTTTCAAATTTATGCTTTTATAAGAAGAAGATAAATCGGATATTTTTAATATTCAAGATATTATAGTGATTTTAAATTAAGAAGCTCAAACTATTCAAAATAAAAGTGAAACTGCTGTCTTTTTAAAAAAAAAAAAAAAGGAAACGGCTGTCTTAAATAAATAGCTTACGTGCAGAATTTAGGGTACCAAAAGGCTAAATAAATTTCTTTTTATCTTTACCTCTTTGTTTTCTTTGAAAAGGCTGATAAAATGATGCTAACACACTTGTAAAGCATTCCCATATAGAGAATCAATGAGGCAGGTCGTTTAACACTTGTAAAACATTCCCACAGAGAATTAATGAGTCATCGAATATTTTTTTTTCAAATGGTTAGAGAGAAAAATAGCAGCTTATGGACCAGCACACAGTTAATAAGAAAACGAAACATTCTATCATAGTCCCTTATCTTTGAAAAAACCAAACATTTATGGGAGCGCAAAAAGGGAAAAGATTTTACGAGAGCTGCTTGGTGAAAGAAAACATTCTATGAGTGCATGGTGAGAACATTCTAAAACTAACAAAACATAAACTTTTTAACACGGC